TGTCTCCGAGAAAGAAATGCTGGCTGTAGTCCATTGCCTTCGAGTCTGGAGACAGTATCTCTTAGGATCACAGTTCGTAGTGAAGACGGATAACAGCGCCACTTGCCACTTCTTTGATCAACCAAAATTAACAGCAAAACAAGCCCGGTGGCAGGAGTCGTTGGCCGAATTCGACTTCAAGTTCGAACACAAAGCAGGAAAGAGTAATCAAGCAGCCGACGCGCTGAGTCGGAAGGGCGAACATGCGGCCCTGTGCATGTTAGCCATATTCATTCAAGTAAGATCGATGGATCGATGCGCGACATCATCAAGGAACATTTACACAAAGACCCATCGGCCGAAGCTGTTGTCGAACTAGCTAAGGCTGGAAAGACACGGCAGTTTTGGATTGAGGGGGACCTCCTGATAACCAAAGGAAACAGATTGTACGTCCCAAGAACAGGGGAACTGAGGAAGAAGCTCATTCAGGAATGTCATGATACCTTGTGGGCCGGACATCCTGGGTGGCAAAGAACATACGCCTTAATAAAGAAGGGGTACTTCTGGCCAAACATGCGAGACGACATCATGCAATACACCAAGACGTGCCTCATCTGCCAACAGGATAAGGTCGAGAAAGCCAAAGTCTCTGAACTCTTGAAACCTCTACCTGTGCCAACAAGACCCTGGGAAAGTGTATCTCTAGACTTCATAACACACCTCCCAAAGGTCGGGGAATATGACGCCAAGACCCTGGGAAAGTGTATCTCTAGACTTCATAACACACCTCCCAAAGGTCGGGGAATATGACGCCATGACCCTGGGAAAGTGTATCTCTAGACTTCATAACACACCTCCCAAAGGTCGGGGAATATGACGCCATCTTGGTTATTGTAGACCGATTCTCCAAATATGCGACATTCACCAAAGGTCGGGGAATATGACGCCATCTTGGTTATTGTAGACCGATTCTCCAAATATGCGACATTCATCCCCACTCCCAAATTATGACGCCATCTTGGTTATTGTAGACCGATTCTCCAAATATGCGACATTCATCCCCACTCCCAAATTATGTTCGGCGGAACTCACAGCCCAACTGTTTTTCAAACACGTTGTAAAGTTATGGGGCATTCTGTCGAGCATCATCAATGATAGGGATGGCAGATTCATTGGGACATTCTGGACTGAGTTATTCGCTTTCTTGGGAACAACCTTAAACATCTCCTCGAGTTATCACCCTCAAACCGATGGATAGACAGAACGGTTCAATTGCTTGCTCGAAGAATACTTACGTCACTTCGTCGACGCTCGCCAAAAGAACTGGATACAATTGTTAGATGTCGCCCAATTTTGCTTCAATTGTCAAACCAGCTCATCTACAGGGAAGAGTCCCTTCGAAATTGTAAGTGGACGACAACCGGCCTTACCCCATATTATTGATCATCCTTATGTAGGAAAAAACCCTCAAGCTCACAACTTTACGAGGGAATGGAAGCAGACGACAGATATAGCCCGGGCATATTTAGAGAAGGCTTCCAAGCATATGAAGAAATGGGCGGACAAGAAGCGTCGCCCCCTTCATTTCCGTGCAGGAGATCAAGTCCTTATCAAGCTGAGACCGGAACAGATCAGATTTCGTAGCCGAAAGGACCAAAGACTAGTTCGTAAATATGAAGGCCCGGTCGAAGTCCTTAAAAAGATCGGGGCTACCTCCTACCGAGTTGCACTACCCGCGTGGATGAAAATCCACCCCGTCATTCATGTGAGCAACTTGAAGCCCTATCACCCTGATCCAGACGACGACCAACGAAATGCAACCACAAGACCGAACATCGATCTGAAGCAAAAAGAAACAAAGGAAGTGGAAGAGATCCTAGCCGACAGGGTTAGGAAGATAGGAAGACCTGTACGGACGATTCGTGAATTCCTTGTCAAATGGAAGAATCTCCCTACAGAGGAAACAAGCTGGAAACGCGCCGAAGATCTGAACTCCGCCGCCACCCACATCGCAAGGTATGAAAGTAGTCGGTTGACAGGGACGTCAACCAATTAGGTGGGGGAGGATGTCATGGTCATGCTTGTCCAGGGCATGTTGCCCATGGCCGCATGCCCATGACAAGCCAAACCCTTGTCATGTCTTTTCATTCTAGTGTTTTTCTTTTTGTAATTCTGAAGATTATGACACCTCAAAAATATCATGTCTAGGCCTGCCAGAACTAAAATGGCCCAGAATGTACTATAGAGGGATATGACTAGTCGTCAACTTCTCCCTACCCAAGGTTATATATGCTAAGCCGTTGTTATCTTTCTCTTGCTTGCTTATATAACGTCTCTTTCTAAAATCTCTCTTTCTAAAATCTCTCTCTCTCCTCGTTTTCTAAAACCTTCTTTTAAAACCGACACGTGGAGCATCCGTGTGAGTCCCCTTTTGGTTTGTTCAACTTTCGTTTGCTAAATTTTTGTACCACTTCCAATACTAAATATATTTTTATATGATATTGGACCTACTTTAGGAAATTCAATTCTTTTGGACACCCTCTTAGTGAAGAATCGTGGACGGAAAGACATGCAACAAACAAGTTACCACACGGATTTAGGAAAAAAATACTTGTGAGATTCGCTAGAATTTCATGCATGTTAGTAAACCGACCTTAGGTGGTTAGTTCCTTCATGTTATATAGTAGAAATGGATAAGTAGAGAATGGTAGTAATAAATGTAGAAACTCTGACAATTGTCTGCCTATCGCTATCATGCTTTACGTTCCACTGTACATATGTTTTATATTATGTTGAAAGGAAGATGAGAGGTTTTGTGATTTGCACTCCTAATGCTTGATGGATGTTATCATTCCGTTGAGAATGTGAGTGTTTTGCATAAAATGTTGTATGATGACCTTAGGTATGAGAATGTGTGCATTTTTCATTAATTTAAAAGAACCAGGATCATGTTAAGAATAGGGCGTTACGGTTAGGTTGGCTCGTCACTAAATTTAGATCATGATGCCTTAGTAGCTCAAGCTCATAAGATCACGAGTTGCGGACTGAGGGTGGATACCCTAGTGCGCGCGATAGAGATAGAAACCTCATAAGGACTATGCAGGGCGTGAACTTAAAAGGTAAGGTTCTTGAAGGCCACCTAACCTCCCTAGGAGCCTAGTAGACCACTACAACCTATAAACCACCATGGGAGTTTCCTTAGGTTGTGAGTAGTGTGATCGGTGTCAACAGGTGCCCCATTACCCCTTCCATACGTGTAATGAGAATAGAAGGTTTAGAAGGGAAGTAAGGGCCCCGACTTCGTGGTATGACCCGAGGTTTTTTATTAGGACCCAATAGATGATAAGCTGTTTCTATAGAGGAAGCATGAGACCATGTCGTATAGCCCAACGGCTGGATGGGACGAGGGAGGGGTCGTGCCCCCCAAACGAGGGTAACTTTATGGACTTATGGGAGATGCTAACTAACTTCCTAGGTATGATGCCATATAGTTTCATAAGAAACATGCCCGAGGTAACGCCTTAGCGATGGTCACCAATCATTCACTAGACATCATAAGGAACTACCAAGGTTTAGAATATAAGGATGAAGACTAGAACAGACCCCTAAGCGGGAGACTAGACCTTGATGTCCTAGAGTCAAAGAAAAGTCTCCAAGAATCTGTTATGCTAAGAATGCGATGAGAGCCCACAAGTACGTGACTTACTAAGTAATTTTTATACTCACTCTTTGCTACATTTTTTTTCAGGTACGTGCCACTCTGGTCGAGGAAAGAGCGTGTTTGAAAAACGTGCAGGTCACCTCGGGGCCTTTGTCTAATCCTCTTTTCTTTTATATTTTGAACTTCATGACTCTTCAACATTAAAACTTGTAAACAATTTGTTACATTGTATTGAAACTTTCTTCTTTTGAAATCTAAGATTGTTGTGTTGATGTTAAATGTTTACTTGCATGCATATTGCACGCACATTGTCAAAAAAAATTTGTCGTGACAGATTGATATCAGAGCACAAAGTTTTAGGTCTTGTAGACGTTTAGGTTAGAGAGTTGTAACCTTCATGACCACATCCACTAAACACGTGTCATACACAACCAGGTATTCATCCAGATTTGGACGATAAAAAAAAGGGGCTATAGATGTTGTTTTAAGAGCTTTACTCTTTTGTATGATTGGGTTATAGCGGCTCATTTTTTCATGGAGACATGTTAAGGCAATTAGTAACTACAATTTTTTGTATCTAACCAATGGGGCGAGGAGGTTATGTCAAAGTCAGGCTAGGTCATATCTATTTATAGTAAGATAATCTACTAATTTACTTATTTGTTACCATGAATTAAGGAAAATTATGATTTCCTGGTTTGTAACCAAATCTGTGATTTCCTGGTTTGTTACAGGGTAATCCTCATTATACACATCTATAAATACATGAGGTCGTGACCCATATACGTCATAGTGTCATTCAACCTAACATGGTATCAGAGCCAAGGTTTATTCATTAACAATATCTATCATATTCTCTTCCTCCTCCTCATCCACCATCTCCAACACGATCTCAACTAGCATGGCGTCAACCTTTGACCCAATCCCTCTTTACCACGTTGTCACAATCTGTCTCACCAAAAGCAACTTCATCATACAACGCGCCTAGCTCCTCCCCTACCTACAGAGTACGAAGCTTATGGGCTACCTCAATGGCATCATTGCCGCACCTGCCAAGCTGGTCCCTTCCTTAACCGCTGCTAGTGCTGACCTGGTCTCTAATCCGGCCTATGATAAGTGGTATGATCAGGATCAATAGGTCCTTAGCGGCCTTCTCTCCTTCATGTCTGAGGAGATCCTTCACGATGTGGTTGCTGCTACTATGTCCAAGGAAGCGTGGGATATCCTACATTGGATGTTTTCATCGTCAATTCGTGCTTGCACTATTTAGATCCGTGTTGAGCTCGCCACATCCAAGAAACGCAATCAGTCTGCTACAAATTATTTTCACAAGACCAAAGGGCTGGTCGTCGTCGGCTCTGCCTTGTAGGATGATGATGTGATCGCATATCTTCTCGCTGATTTTGGCCCTAACTATGATCCCTTCGTCACCTCGATGACTACCAAGAGTGAAGCCCTCACACTCGATGATGTGTTTGTAATCTAATAGTGTTTGAAGCTTGTCAACTACAACATTAGGCTGAACTTCAGTTAAATCTTGGATCTTCTGCCAATTATGCTGGTCGTGGTGGTCAGCAAAAGAACTGTGAGTGTAGGGATCGTGGTCGTGGTCATTCTCAAGGTTATGCGCCCTCTCATCCTGCTGGTGATCATCGTGACCCTTATGCTCGTCCTTCCTGCTAGATCTGTGGCAAAGTGGGGCATACTGCTATTCGCTGCTGGCATAGGATGGATGAGTCCTATCAAGATGAACCTCCTTTTGCTCCTTCTGCGGCACTGGCGACTACTTCCTCTTACAAGATTGATCCAAATTGGTACGGCGACATAGGCGCCACTGATCATATCGCCAGTGACCTAGATCGTCTCATTATGCGTGAACGCTATCATGGAGGTGAACAAGTTCAAGTCGACAATGGAGTAGGTTTGCGTATTTTGCATACTGGTCATTCTTTAATTAATACTGCTACTCGTCCTCTAGCATTGCGTAATATTTTGCATGTGCCTGAAATTTTCAAACATCTTCTTTCCGTTCATAAATTTTCTCGTGATAATGACGCATTTTTTTTAATACCATCATTGACATTTTTCTATTAAGGATCAACAGTTGAGGAAAAGTCTTCTAGATGAGAGGTGTGAGTCTGGTCTCTATCCTATTAAGTCATCTGAGGTCGATGATCTCAAGCATGCTTTAGTGAGCAGATCTACTTCTCACGCCCAATGACTTGCATGTCTTGGACATCCTTCATCTCATGTAGTAAAGTCAATTTTGCGTCTCAATAATATTTTGTGTCCTAGTGAGTTACCTTTGCCATTTTGTAATGCGTGTCAGTCAGCAAAAAGTCATCAGTTACCATATACTAGTTCTTCCCATAGGTCTTCGTCACCTTTGGAACTGATTTTTTCGAATGTTTGGGGCCATGCACCTCCATTTGTTGGGAGTTTAAATATTATATTAGCTTCATTGATGATTTTAGTAAATTGTCATGGATCTATTTGATGCATGATCGTACAGAAGCTCCTTGTATACTTTTGCAGTTCCAAGCTCATGTTGAGCACCTCCTAGATACTAAAATCAAGCGTGTCTAGTCTGATTGGGGTGGGGAATATCGAAAAATTCATAATACATTATTTCGTTCCCTTGGAATTGCTCATCGTGTTTCGTGCCCTCACACGCATCAACAAAATGGGTCTGCTGAACGCAAGCACCGTCATATTGTTGAAACTGGCCTAGCCTTTCTAGCTCATGTTGTTGTACCTATTAAATTTTGGGATGACGTGTTTCTTACGGCCACATATCTCATCAATCTTCCTACTTGTGTCATTGATAACAAATGCCCCTTAGAGTGTCTTTTTCATACCCCCACCAAATTACTCCTTATTAAAAGTTTTTTAGTGTGCTTGTTGGCCTCATCTTCACCCTTATAACAAACAAAAGCTCTCTTTTCGATCCAAGGAATGTGTCTTTCTAGGCTACAGTTCTTTACATAAAGGGTATAAGTGTCTTGACATCGATTCTGGTTGTGTCTATATTTCTAGAGACGTCATATTTGATGAGAATGTTTTTCTGTTCAAGAGAGCCCCACCCAATTCTTTCCCAACCTTGCAGCCGACGCACAATGCCCCTAATTTGTGCACCTTGCATTTGGGTACAAGCAGTACTAATTTGGAGAGTGATCACATGCATATATTTGTGCCTACTAACTCTTTGGATGCATAAAATCTGGTGCCCACAAGCTTCGGAATTGCCGCCGCAATCCTCCGCGCGCTGCTGTGAGAATCAGCGTTGGTTGTTCCGCTAGCAGATGATATTGCGCAATGCCCGGTCAGATCCTTGGTCGCTTGTCGACCGACTGTTGTAGCACCGGTTGCTCCCCTCACAGTGGCTGGTACGGTTGTCCCCTCGATTGTGGATCTTGCACCTACTACTCATCCGTATGGTACTCGATTGAAACACAATATCAAGAAACCCAAGGTACATATAGATGGAACAATAACATATTCTGTAGTTCGGTTTTCTGCCTCTGAACCTACTTCACATATAAAGCATCCCCTTTGGCGTCAAGCAATGGATGATGAATTTCAGGCACTTCTAAAAAATAAGACATGACACTTAGTTCCTCCTCGTGCTGGTCTTAACGTTATTGATTGCAAATGAGTTTTCAAACTCAAGCAAAAGCCAGATGGCTCTATTGATCGCTCCAAAGCACGCTTGGTTGCTAAAGGGTTTAAACAGCATTAAAGCGTTGATTATGTTATTACCTTTAGTCTAGTTGTTAAGCCCACTACCATTCGGCTCTTATAATCTCTTGCTATTTCTCATGGTTGGGCTATTCGGCAGATTGATATTCAAAATGCTTTTCTTCATGGCTTTCTTAATGCCTTTATTAATGAAGGTGTTTATATGAAGCAACCCCTGGATTTGTGGATTCCCAACATCTTGGTTATCTCTGCCAGCTAGATAAGTCGCTTTATAGCCTCAACAAGCTCCGCCTGTCTGGTTTTCTCACCTTAGCTCCAAACTATTACAGCTAAATTTTACACCTTCAAAGACTGATGTCTCTCTTTTCATTTTTTACAAGACGGGCATTCAGATGTATATCCTCATCTCTGTTGATGACATTATTATTATCAGCTCATCTTCTATAACTACTGAGAAACTTCTTACATAGCCTCGAGATGATTTTGTCGTCAAGGATCTTGCCATTTTGAGTTATTTTCTTGGGATTGAGGTCCGCCATACTTCCAATGAACTTGTTTTGGCACAACATAAATACATTCAAGATTTATTGTCCAGAACCAATATGCTCACCTCCAAAAGTGTGCCCACGTCTATGCTTCCTAGTGAGAAGTTGTTATTGGATGGTGGTGAAAAGCTCTCGCCTGAGGATACTACTCGCTATCGGAGTGTCGTTGGTGTTCTCTAATATTTGCCTCTGACACGTCTTGATATATCCTTCTATGTCAACAGAGTGTGTCAGTTCATGTCCTCCCCGACTTCTATACATTGGGCGGCAGTCAAACGAATTCTCCATTATCTACATGACACTATTGATATGGGCTTGTGTCTTACAAATTCCAGCATTGATTTGCTGAGTGCCTTTTTGGATGCTGATTGGGCCGGGAATCCTGATGATCGTTGAAGCACTGGAGGCTATGTGATCTTCTTTGGTGGCAATCGACAGTTTCTTGTTCTAGTATGAAGGCCGAATATAAGGCGGTTGCTGATGTCACTGCTAAATTAATCTGGATCCAAGTCCTCTTGCGTGAGCTCGGGATCTCACAAGCGCAAGCGCCTAGCCTGTGGTGTGACAACATTGGTGCCACCTATCTGTCCGCCAATCCAATCTTTCATCGACGGGCGAAGCATGTTGAAGTTGATTATCACTTCGTTCGTGAACGAGTATCGACTCATCAGCTTGATGTGCGACTCATATCTTCCAAGGATCAGCTCGCCGATATCATGACAAAGCTACTGCCAACTCCTTCTTTTAGCAGTTTTAGGCGCAATCTAAACTTAATACATCGTCCATATTGAGGGGGTGCTTAACATAGAATAGATCATATATGTACATAGATAATCATGAGATGGAACAACTTGCACCCGAAGAGGAGATTGGAGAGTTGCCTCAGGAGGATGACAGGGCTATATTGTAGGCACCCGCTCCTAGAAGGGCACGAAAGAGGGCGGTGACCCGTGATATTCCTGATGTGGACTCTTCGGCACCAGTTTCTGAGGTAGTCCCATTAATGCCAGCGACGAACACTGAGGTGCCTCCCAACAAGCCGACAGCAGCCTTCATCTTGGAGGTGTTGTAGGCTTTCATGAGGACCTTCGTGGAGAATCAGCAGACATTCATGAGGACCTCCATAGAAAACTAGGCTCAAACTAGCCAGTTGTTGCAGGCTTAGTTGCCAATCAGACTGGATGAAATTTTTTAGATTATAGTTTAGAGAGAACTTTAGTTGTCAGATAAAAAACCTGGTTGGCAAAATCATAATAATAATAATAATAATCAATGTTTGACGCCTACACAGACCAGTACTTTGACCTTTCCAATTTGATTATTGAAGAGGATGACTATCGAAGCGATGGGAGCTACCTAGTGTGGATGACTTATTTTGATGTTGTTGCCTATTGGGATGAAGAAAAGAGATTTGATTTACCTAATTAGAGTGGAGCACATGAGTCTTGGTGTGGAAACGGTTTACTCTTGAACTTGAGATTGGTGGTAGGTTTGAGAGTGAAACTTGGTTGGGTGAGAAGAATGCTGCTGGTTGTGAAGATATTTGCCTTAACATTCTCCCTGTGTCCTTTTTTTGTTGTCTTGAAGTTGTTGGGAACAGGGAGGATGAAAACATAAGAATGTTGATATTAACTTTCAATCATTTTCAGTATAGCTCTACTCTCAAAGATGAAAGCAAAAAAAATGGATAACGACCAATACATACGAAGGGGAGAGTAGGGTGTAGATACAAGGCCCCAAAGAGTCAGGGGGCATGACAATTGAATCCCAATACTGGGATTTCTAGAAGTGCAACCCACCTTCCTTATCTACACCCTACTCTGGTCCGGCCATGATGCATGTTGGTTAATGAGAAACGAAGGAATTCTACGTACACTACGCTTTGAACACGAGATGCGTGACTCGGAAGCTCCAATCTACAACTGCCACATGCCACGCCAAGGATGCAAATCTCCTACGCTTGACATGTGGGTACTCGCGTATGGCTGCACACGTGGACTACCTTTCAGCCACATGTGAGAATGCATGAGGTAAAAATGTTTTCGGATTTGACTCCCGTTTGACTGTTTTCAATCCAATATTGGTACTGACTTCTACCAGAGAAATTTTGAAAAATTCAAAGCTCCTAGCAAGTAGAAAAGTAAGCTAAAAAAGACACGCACGCCTAAGTAGCCATTCAAACTTTTATTAAGCAATACTTGTAGCGATCGCTAGGACATATATTGCTTTATGGTAAACTAATGGTAAACTAATGA